TGGACCACCTGAAAGATTTATTTGGGGAGGGGGCGTGGGGAGGGGGGTTGGCTCAGATTGTGTGGGTCATGTTTAAGGGGGGGTTGTTTTAGGACAGGACCCCTGAAAGGGTGAATTATATGGGGCGTCCTGCCCTTGTGATAAGTGGCATTTTATAAATTGGGATGCATTTTACAGATAGACCTATAAACAAAAAAGAATTATATTAAAAATATATATATATTTAGAGTTGAGGGCAGCGCCACGACTGACACAGGGAAATGGTGCCGAACTGCTGCTGCCCAGGAAAACCAATTAAATATGCATTTTTACTTAACTACCTCAGGATCTAGTACCTCAGAAGAGAAAAGATATTATATATATGAAAAAAAATTGTTCCTTTCTTTTTTTATTTTGCTTTGTGGTGTTTTGTATACTTTATAAAGCTGATAGTCTTTGAACATTTTTATTTTTTTAAGAAAATTTAAAATTTTGGTCAGCTGCCAACTGACCTTGCCTTCAACTCTGGTGCTTTAGGTGGCATTGTACATGTGTATGTGTGACTTAAGATGACCCTGTACATAAAGTCTGTTTGTACATAGCAGCCCCGGAGCAAGAGTTGGCGCCCCCTCAGCTGGCGGCTGACAGAAGTATAGAGAAAATCGCCTCAGTTTTTCCCCTGAGGGTCCACCATCTTCAGAAAGAAGTGCAAAACAACTACGACATGCAAATAATGCCAACCGTACATGACTGCAGCAATGCAATTTTTCTTTTTAAATTTTTTTTTTTGGGGGGGGATTACCATAGTTAATGATAATGGTACTTTAATTTGTCAAAATTTCCTTTCACCTTCCTATTTGAGGGCTGTGGTCAGGGTGCTGCAGAGAATACTGTAATGGGGTCCTTCCTGTAGCTGCCCTCAAGTCAGCAGAGCATGTGTTTGTGGTCTGTTCTGTTCCCAGGCCTCCTGCCACCTTTGTTGGCGAGTGTCTTAGCGAGGTCAAAGCCCCCACTAGGTTTAATTTCATATAGAGCGAGCTTTGTCATTTCAGAGTGGCCCTTGTAGCAAGGCCATCAAGTCGATGTCGTTAACTGCCTGGTGAGGGTAGGGGGAGTCACACTGATAGATGCAAACGTAACTTTTTTTTTTTTTTTTTTAAGTTTCAAGGAAAATGATTTAAACAAAAGGATGTCTCTGTAACCCGCAAATGTACTTGATGTTTCATTTAGTTATGCTTACAGGGAATAACGAGCCAGGATAGGCGCACAGACCATACTGGGTGAACCCTGACTGGCGTTTATTTTAGGGAAAAAAAGGAAAGGAATCCAAAAACATAGTTATTTTATTTTTTTTCCATGCCGAATGTAAATATGTTGATTGTGGTAAAAGTGCTTGAGTGTATCCATGCTTCCACAGTAGAACGCCGTCTACCTCAGCTGAGGGGGCGGGGGGTTGTTGTGGCACTAGGCACCCAGCCCTGCCCCCACTGAGCGCCAGCGCGCACTGATACCTCAGTCCCCCAAACACTTTCTATTTGGGCGCGCCTTCCTAACACCGTGCTTAACTGAGGGGCACAAGTGATACTTTAAAAAAAAAAAAAAGTCCCTAACATCTCCCATCTCCCTGCCAACCCACCCTTCCCACAACTTCCCCTTCCTCCAGTTTATTTTTGATCTACCTCTTTAGAAATGTATTTGAAGTAGAGGCATTCTTCTATTTGTCAGAATTTAACCCTTCTCCACACCTCTACGCTCCCCTCCCCCAGATAAGATTAAAAACTAAGATCATGAACTCTTTAGAATTGAGAAGAATCAAGTGATTTTTTTTTTTCCCAGTGTTTATAAATATATACATGTCTTGACTTTAATTGAAATCCTCGAAACAATAGTTATTTCCTTCTGCTCTCTATTTTTGGTGGTGTGGCTTCCATGTGAACTTTTGCTTGAATTTTTCTTTTTGCATTCAGTAGCTAAAACAAGACAATACAGTTGTTTTTTTGTTTTTTTTTTTGATAAAGGGCCTGCCTATTGTTTCTGATTTGTAAGACTTCAAGACAGATAAAAGAAAAAAATACAGGACTTTTCTTTTCTTCCCCTTTTGTCTTTCTCAGATGTTACACTCGCTGATTCGGTAGCTGTTTTGTTCTGTTAGCATTTCTTGGCTGTGTAACGTGGAACATCCTCCTTGGTATGGGACAGATGAGGGACCGGGCCTGAGTTTTTGTAAAAGTGATCAAACTTCAGCTTGATATTCTCTCCTCTGCAACAATGCTTGTGCCCCTTCACCTCCCCCTCACACACAACTCCACTTGTCAAATGCCTCTAAATAAAGAAAAACAAAATGGAGAAAAACATTTGACACAAATGCATTTTCTTCTAAGATGACTGGGATGCTTTAACTTTTACAGTTAAGTATGATATTACAAAGTGTTTGGGAACCCCAACTAGAAAAAGTCCTGCGGTGCATAGTGTGTAAAAGTCAGCCTCTGCTGACTCTGTAGCTGGAGTTTTTCAGACCTGCTCATGGTCTGGGTTTCCATGACGGAGCAGATCTGAGGGTGTTAGGTCCTTGGTTAAACTGGATATGTGACAAATGGCCTTTATAATTGGGTTGACTGACCCTGTCAAACATGGTCTTTATTTATCACAATAGGTTAAAGAGAAAAATGGACTCACCTGCTCTATTTTCTATGAATAACACTAAAAGAAGCTGTGGGAAGTTGCTTGTAAGAAAAGGAAAACCAAACATTATCATGAGGTTTCAGCAAAGACCCACCAATCTTGTTTTTGATCAACTTGATTAGGTGATCATCAAAATGTGAGCACCTCTATAAAAGCAGCGGTCTTGGCAGGGTGCTATTTAGGTGTGTGTGTGTGTGTGAGATATAACACAATGCCACAATTTTCTCAGGAGTGAGGTCCCAGCAAATTCACCCCAAGGACAGAGCATGTAATGCCCAGAGGCCTCCAGAATTAGAGCCATGTCTTGTACTCTCGAGGCCTGGAGACACGCTGATCAACTATGATTTGTTTGGAAGGTTCCCAGGAGTCTCTAAGAGCATTACCCCATGGCTTAGGTTTGAAGTTGCATCTGAAACAATGTTTACACAATACGCAGTGCTACATTTAGCAGAAACCAAACGGTGTATCCACACAGGCTCAGCCCAACTGTCTAGGTCTGTGGCGGAGGGGTAACAATTTGGGCTAATTGTGCAGCCACAGGACCTGGGCACTTTGCAGTGAAGTATTGACCATGAATTTCTCTGTATACCAAAGTATCCCAAAGTGAAATGTGAGTCAAGTCATGCAATAGGACAATGATGCCATGGATGGCACAAAATCTAGAACTGACTGGTTAAAGAGAACATGTTGCAATGGCCCAGTCGGCACCTGAATCACAGGGTGTACTTTACACAGGGATGCAGAGAGTCCTGTGAAAACATTTTCCACATGATTGAAGTCGTGTATGAAGTCGATACGAGTTCCACATGTAATGAGTTGACAATGCCCCAAATTCCAAAGCAACATACGTTAGGTAGTGCTGCATTAGAGAAATATTTAAAGTCACTTGGTAAACTTTGCTAAAGGAGTGAAAAATGTGTAATAGTACGGTATTAAAACTTTAAGTTTAACAATTTGCCTCTGTGCAGTTTAGTGTACTGTACAGTAAAAGCATTAAGTATGTTGTGTGAACTACCTGCTTTAAAATCGGCGACGTGTGATTGATTGCATTTGATTTGCAGTGTTTGTTTGATCACAATAATATACAGGATTGTGTTGGGTTACAGGAAAGTGGTGACTTCCTTGCTTGTTTTAAAAGCCCCAAACGATAGTGCTAATGGTTAAAATCCAGTTTTTCACTAAACCATGAATTTTCTGCAGTTAATGTGATTGTGTGAAACAGTTTTAAAACAGATTTAACACCACACACAAACAAATTAATAGAACACTAAAAATCAGTTCATCTAACGTTAAATACATTTTTTTCCAGCTCCATACAAAGACAGATTCCAGTGTCTTCAAAACATAAGTGGTTAGTTCACAGCCTTTATTTAGTGACAGACTTATTATCAGCCTTTCATCCTCCTTGATTATGGCTGTTTAAATCTTGGAGTTAAAGAAATTAAATTATAACTCATTTGAGGAAAACCATGCATGTATCACTACTAGTAGGATTTTACCCGTACATTAATATACAGTATTCTAAAGCAATCCATGACAAACGGTACAAAAGCACTTTTCATCAAAAACAGCCATTGCTTGAGCCTAATTCATTTATAGCAGCTACTACACCCTATGTTGCAATCAAAATGAGTGCCTCAATCACATATTCGACAGCCTCTTCAGTAGAAAATCATCACACAATCAGCAGCTGCTGTAGCAGTAGCAGTTTCTGGAGCACAATCAAACAATTAAAACAAGCAAAATATTAGTTTCTTTTACAAATATGGTATTCCTGCTATTTTTGCACTTTAATGCTAAACTTTTGATTAGATTCATATCTGACAATCACATGCTTTAGGTGTTTTTTATTTTAAGTGATGATGCAGCTCAACAAAGCCTACAGGGGGTTTCTCTCAGTCAGCAGGTGATGGCTCTCCTCACTGGAGGGGAAGAGTGCCTCCTTCAGGCGAATCATGTGACCTCCAACCCCAGCATGGGGATCCTCCACCAGTGACCTGCGAATGGGCCGGTACACCTTGTAACGCCTGGAAGAAAGATGCAGGACACAAATATGATGGGAGGGTAATGACACTCTAACTGGATGTGAGCGGCAAGAGTTGGAAAAAGAATACGAGGTGTTTTACGAGCAGGGTAGTAATCAACTGGAAATTCAGTGAGAATCAAAGTGGCTTTGTGTGCATGTGTAAATGCTTTTTAATGTGGCAGTAAAAGGCAAAGTTGTGCATTAAAATCTTTCTGCATCATATATTCGGGTCTTCACACATTTACTGAAGGAATGCTGCTGCATCTGAAGACTACTCACTTGTAGACCACATAGGCAATGAATGCAAAAATGGCCCCAGAACAGCACTTGAGGAGAGAACGACTTGGGCAGTGTGAGAGGTTGTGGACACTGATGGGTACAAAGGGCAGTGAAGAGAGTGTAAAAACAGACCGGAAACTACAACACACCAGGCAACAGTTTCTACAAAGCTGATTTCAAGAAATATCCTGTTGTATGTGTTTGTGTAGCTAACCAGGTGTGTCCTGGGACTTGTTGATGGTGATGGTGGTGCTGGTAAGGGTCAAGCTGCTGGAGTTCTCCAAAGTGATGTTCACACAGTAGGTGCCCGGTTCCAGAAATCTTCGCGTCAGATGCACTTTGCACTCCGAGAGAGGCGGCACATCGTTGCACATGATGTTGCGTACCTGAGTGCAGCTGGGGTCTGACACGATGGTACAGGCTGAAGTGGGGATGCTGCGGATAAGGGATGAAGGATAAATCAAATAAACCTGTTTCTTTATCTAAAATGTATAGGTTTGTGGGGGGGGTGCCATTGCACCTAAGTGACTAAATTGGATGTGCAGGGAGAAGATCATCAAAAATAAAGTTGATAAACTCCAAAGGTTACTGTGATTTCCTCTTTGAATGTTTAAAAAAATATCTACAGTATTATTATTTTTTAAACATAAATTTAAACAAAGTATATAATAAATGCATACCTGCCCAGACATTTCACCAGGAAGTTGATGTCAGTGTTGGTGACTCTGTGGGCTGACACTTCCAAAATCCGACTGCTTGGCAGGGTGTTCAGTGGGTGCTTGGGCTCTGTGGGGAACAGATTAATTATTTTGTGGGTTTTGGATGTGTAATCCTCTTCCCCCTAAATAATAATATGATGAAGGAACCAGTCAAAGAATCATAGCATGAGGTTGCTTGAATACAAGTTTGTAGAGAGAAACTGGATCGCAACA